CGATCACCGGCTTCTGGGGCCGGCCTGCAGCCCAGGAGGGCGGCTCGTGCTGGCAGCTGTGCTGTCCCACCCTGCTGGCGGTATGCAAATTAGCTGCCATCTTTGTTGGTGGTTAATTTGCATATTGCGCTGATTAGCCAATGGGAGGTGTAGTGAAAGTACGGTCAATTACCATGTTTGTCTATTATTAGATAGGATATTGATCTTTAATTAATAATGTGTTTGGGGGGGAACTATGCATTTCTTTAAACTTTTCTGCACATTTGAAATTTTTCACAATAATTCAAGAAAAATGCACTTTGGAGAATTTTGACTTGATTACAAAGGGGTAAAATCATCTCTCCCATTCTCTCCCTTGGAATTATACAAAAGATAAGGAGAATTAGAAACAAAAATTCAACTTCTTTTTACGGCAAACGTAGGTCAACTAAAACTCTGTATTTTGAAATACATGGAAGAGTAGCCAAAAACAAGTAAGATTGAAGATACACAAAAGGAAGTAGAAATAAGACACCAGGGGAAGAATACTTAGGTGCTGCAGACCTTTGAAAGACCAAGCAAAAATAGTTTTCTAAGATGCTTACATGAGGTACAGACCTTAAATCCTGTGCTTGCAACAGTAGAATGATCTATGCTTCGTGTTAGGAGCTTCCTAGAAGCGGTTTATTTTCAAGGAGACGAAAAGGCAAGGCTTAAGGAGGAATTACACAGACAAGGCAAATCTGTAGGAGGCTTCTTTTTTCATAGCAGCCAAGAAAAGAGAGTCCTTACATTATAAAACAAACAAACCATAACAAAAATGACCTCGCTAATAGAATTTATCAGAAAACAATTAAATTCAGGTGTAAAATTTCATCAGTTTGGAACATAGCACAGACCCCTATGCCACATAACTTTCCTCAAACAGATGATCTAGGAAACACTTTTCTTCTTCAAAACTGAGTCCTGGAAAATGAAGCTACATAGTTTCTATAAAAAGATATTAGAGTATGAATGGAGGAAATAAACAGGAAAAGTGAATGGCAGGAAAAGAAGTTTCACCACTGATAAGGTGCCATAAAGCATATTCATACTTAGTATAAATTACAAATATTAATGAAATAATTTCCTCTTAAAAGTACATGTTGCCCTAACCGGTTTGCCTCAGTGGATAGAGCATCGGCCTGCGGATTGAAGGGTCTCAGATTCAATTCCGGTCAAGGGCATGTACCTTGGTTGCAGGCACATCCCCTGTAGGGGATGTGCAGGAGGCAGCTGATTGATGTTTCTCTCTCATCGATGTTTCTAACTCTATCCCTTTCCCTTCCTCTCTGTAAAAAATCAATAAAATATATATTTTTTAAAAGTACATGTTTAAGGTGGAAATAAATGCAGAATTTAGGTTAAAGATGGTGAGACATAGGAACAGATGAAAGCAAGTTAGCAGAAAAAGAACTAAGAGAAAATAAAATTACCTCAGAAAAAAATATATATTGCTGATTTCATATATCTTCTATATACATAAAAGCGTAATATGCAAATTGACCAGATGGCAGAATGACTGGTTGGCTATGACATGCACTGACCACCAGGGAGCAGACGCTCAATGCAGGAGCTGCCCCCAGCCTGCAGGCCCCGATCACCCAATGGGGGATGGGGAACCGGGGGTGGGTGGTGGTGGACACAGGCTGCACCAGGGCCCTGATCACCCAGGTGGACAGGCAGCAGCATGGTGGGGGGCCAGGCTGGCTGCTGGCAGCTGGGGAAGATTGGCCCTGATTGCAGGCCAGGCCTAGGGACCCTCCCCATGCATGAATTTTGTGTGCCAGGCCTCTAGTATGTATATAAATATGTTGAAATTATTGTATTTAATTAAAAGAAAAACAAATTACAGATCCACAAAACAATATGAATGAATCTCTAAAACATCAGAAAAAAAGAAGTCAGACATAAAAGAGTATGTAGTATATCATTCCATTTATATGTTATCTAGAACAAGCACAATTAATATAAGATGATGTAAATCAGAACAGTTGCTGTCTGTGTGGGGGAGGAATTGCCTGGGAAAGGGTACCAGGGAAATTTCTGGAGTGTGAAGATGTTCTGTATCTTGCCTAGGGTGGTGGCTACATAGATGCAGACAATTGTCAAAGCTTCTAAAACTAAATACTTAAATGTGCAATAGATACTGAGCCAAATTCAGATAATTGCACCCCATCAATAAAGAGCAGATAAATTTAGTCTCATGAAAACTACTACAGAGGATGAAAAGAGAAAGATCCTTCCAAATTTTTTGAAGATTACACAAAATTAAAACCAATAAATCTCATGTTAGTGTAGAAATACTGGATAAAATATTAGCAAATAGAATTTAGCAGCACAATAAAAGATAACATATTACAGCAAGTGGAGTTTATTCCAGAAATGCAAGGATAATTCAGTACTAAGATAATTATTAATATTCATGTTAATAGATTTATGATGAAAAACGCATGTTTTTATGGATCCTAAATGGATTTAAGACAATTTGATATTTCATTTTTTATAAGAAATAAAAGTAAAATGAGTAAGTAACTACATTAAGCTATATAGTATATATTAATATATTAAAATACATTTCTTCATATATTAAAATAAGGCTCTCATCTCAAAAGCATTTCCTAGAAAGTAGACAGACTCAATTAAAATCAGGAACAAGTCAAGTATGGCCAATAATATTACTATTTAATATTATTCAGGAAGAACTTAATAAGCGATACAATAAGAAAAGTAAGGAATACAAGGTATAAACTTTGGAAAGAGATAATATTATCAATGTTTGCTGATATTACTCAGCTTCTAGAAATTTCAATTCAGTAAGCTAAATATATATTAACAGTCTTTATATGTACAACAATAATAATGATTAGAAGCACCTCCCCAAAAAGTAAAACGCCTAGAAATAAATTAGAACTAGAAAGAAAAAAACTAAAAATGATCCTCAGAAACAAAAACAAACAACTGGAAGAGAATACCATGGTCTTTCATTAGGAAGAATGAACATCCTAAAATGTTAACATGATCCAAATAAAATTTAACATGATTCAAATAAAATTACCAATAATAATTTTTAGGAGGATATAATTTAGACAAGCTGAACCAAATTTTATGTGGAAAACCAAACAAGCAAAAATTACCAAGAAAATAATCTTTAAAAGGAGGGTAATAGGAGGGTGACAGCCCCACCAGATGTTAACATTTATTATAAAGCCTCACTAGTTGAAATATATTATAAAGCTTCACTAATAAAAAGAGAGATGGAATGGAATAGAAAGTCCAGAAACTGGCCTAGACATACATGAGATCAGTTAGGGAAGGATGGATCTTTTACTAGCTGATGATGGGACTACTGAGTTTGAGTTTATGTAATAATTTCCTAAATGATTATTAATAGATAAAAGTATTAAAACTGAGAAATAAAATCTTAAAGGTAGCAGAAAAAAGCATGGCTAGAAAATGTGTTTATATCTCATTATGGATGATGCTTTTTAAAGTATCACACTAATTTCAAAGATAAGAAAGGGATAAGGTTCATTGAGTCCATAAAAAATTAAAAATATTTTTTATTTGCCTGGCCGGAGTGTCTCAGTGATTGAGCTTCGATCTATGAGCCAGAAGGTCATGGTTGGATTCCTAGTCAGGGCACATGCCCAGGTTGCAAGCTCAATCCCCAATGTGGGGAGTACAGGAGACAGCCTATCAATGATTCTCTCTCATCATTGATGTTTTTATCTCTCCCTCTCCCTTCCTTTCTGAAATCAATAAAATAAAAATATTTCCTTTGGCACAAAACATTATAATTACTGTCAAAAGAAAAATACAAAATATAAAAAATGTAGATATATACAACAGATATATGTATAATATGTATAATTTTCCTAATATATAAAGAATTCTTATAAATCACTAAAAATAGAAAAAGTGACGAAGAAAGATAATTATCTCTTAAGGCTGATGCTCAACTTTGTTTTTATTAAGAGAAATGAAACAAAAATACAGTGAAAAAACAAACTACACTGAAATACCAGATTGGTGTTTTGCTAATGGTATAGAGAAAGAAATACTTTCATATAGTCTTTTTGGAGGTATTAACATAGTGAATTAAATAATGGCTTTCAAAATTACAGTTATACACACCCTCTGATCGAGTAATTTCATTTCTAGGGAAATATCCTAGGATTGCAAAATGTATATATGAGCACCATTATTTATTGCAATATTGCTTGAACTTGCAAAAAAATTGAAAACATCCCAAACTTCTAGCTAGTCTGCTCTCAACTCACAAACCTAGGTGGGTCTCTGTTCACTCAGGTTAAGGGCTGTCTTTTTCTTATGCACACATAGGCATGGCATGAGCTAGCATTTATTTCTCAAAGGGGGAACTTAAAGACTCTTGTGAAGTAATCCCACAATTTTTATGATTTTTTAAATCCTGTATTGTTTTGCCCATACGTAACTTAATTGCACTTTTACCCAACTTGTCTTTATCAAGTTCTTCCAAAGCATTTTTAATCCAGTTTTAATAAAATAGAAACAACTCTTTCTGCTGGCATAATTCATCAGTTTGTATAATAATTAAATGAATTATGTAACTAAACTGTTACAACTAATATACCCACGTTCAGAAATAAATAGAACTGACTCTTGGCATCGGCTCATTTGGAAGCAGTGGTGCTCTGGCATCACGGAGAGTAGCCTGTCTGCTGCGAGTGCTCACCAGCCCGGAGAGCAGTTGGTGAATCTGAAAGAGGGGTTGGGGAGCTTGGGTTAACCCAGCAAGTTGGTTAAATGGTCATTTAAGAGAGCTTTTACTGCATACTGACAATAAATAAAGAACAATCCATTATGTTCCAAAATAAATAAAATCAGAGTGAACCTAATAAAAAAAAGATTTGCTAGTATCTTCACATTTTTATGTTATGAGAGCTCTATCTTCATTTATTACTTCCATATGAGCCTGCATTCTTTCCAATATGTTACAGGCTTTGGTCAAAGAGTTACAAGTTGATGTCCATACAATAAGGCGACAAATCAGAGAGCTTAAAAGAATGCAGAGAAAGAAGGATGCTCATAAAACCTCAACTCATAAAGCCCAGACCTTGGCAGCTTCTATCCTCAACATTTCACCATCAGATCTAGAGGAAATATTGGACACAGAAGATGAAGTGGTAAGATCACTTAAACATTTATTAATAAAGGGCCTTTGCACATTGAATTTAAGTACATATCTTTATTTTCAAATTCTTAGAATTTATCTTTAAGATAATATTTATGAAGGTAAGATTATTAATGCACCAATGAAAGATACATCAAGAGTATTGACCAACTTAAAAACCTTTAGAGAAATTTAACTGTAATATGGGAAAAAGCAAGTACATATAACCTCTAGAACTGCTTGTTTGTTATTCAGTCAGTTATCCTTTCCTATCTGTTTTCTTTAACGTAATTAATCATATATCCTGTAAGCTAGTATTTTTAGTTAAGCCAATTTGAATGGATTTAGTGTAGCAGGGTCACCATAGATTTGGGGATTCCTTCCTCCTGTGTGAGATTGGAAAAAGTAATAAATCTAGTGGCTTTCTTAGCTAAATTTAATTTTTGTTGACAAAGTTAAAAATATATTTATTCCTTTAAATCAGGTAAAATATTCCTGTCCAAGTGAATTTATGTGCATGTAAGTATAGGTCTTCAGTGGCATCTCTGTACCTCCTGGGAAAGGCACTGCACTTTTGACATAGTTGTTATCTCATAAACAGCAGAATCCCATCCTGTACACCAAGGGTGGGGAGCGTCCAGCCCTGTGGGCCCTTTAAGGCCTGAGAAATCCTTTGGCCTGGTGCTGCCAAAGCATTAGGGGTGAGTTCATTAAATGTTTGACCAAATAGAGCAGGCTAATTTTTAAGTTGATAATTTTGTATGGTCCACGAATGATGCTATAAATACCCACATGGCCCTTGCAGGAAAAAGGTTCCCACCCCTGCTGTATATGATCTGTGAAACCTGTGGAGGATACTCAACCCCATTCCACTGTTAAGTCTCTGAAATTTAATACCTTAATATTCAATTTTTCATTGTTTGGAAAGATTAAAGAGATGACAGCACCAGCAGCTTCCCAATAAATATTTGCTCAGTGAATAAAGAAAATGTTAGATTGACATGTTTGTGTAAGAACGTCCTCCAGTCCTCCATCAGCTTCTCAAAGGGCTTCTAGAGTAGAGAAGAGCTACAACTTGCAAAGGATATTTTGTTTGTTTGGTGTTTTGTTTTTTTGCTTACTAAATATTCAAAAACGTTTATTTTAAATTTTGAGATAATTTAAATAAAACATGAACACATTTCTGTGGCATTCCACCCATTATAATAGAGGGAATGGCTCCTCAGTTTAGTTCAGCTAATATTTAGTGAATAGCCATCTGTGCCAAGTATTCTGCTAATTTTTTTTTTTTTTTGCTGGCCAGTTATTTATTTATTTGCTTTACATATTATCTTTTTAAAAATTTATTTTTATTGTTAAAGGTAATAGAGATGTCCTCCTTTTTCCCCCCATTGATCCCCTCCATCCAGCTCCCGCCCCCTCCTGAATCATTATCTTTCCATAGTTAAGCATATATGCATATAAGTTCTTTGGTTACTCTCCACCTGCCCCTGCCCCCTTCCCTCTGAAATTCGTCTGCCAAGAATTCTTAGAAAAGTGGTCAGAGGAATCCTGCAGAGATTATTTTCATCCTGTGGGTGAGTAGGAAAGTGAATTATCAGTTTCCTCTTTTCATTACTTATCCACACTGTCCTTAGCTTTCTACTGAATATTGAACTTTGACGTATAGAGCATTATAAGAGACTAGTAGCCCTGCGCACGAATCCGTGCGCCAGTAGCTTGCCAGTAGCTCGCTGCCACCCTCTAGTAGCTCTCCGCCTGCTCCCTGCGCATGAATCCCCGTGTGCCAATAGCTCGCTGCCGCCCTCCTGCAGCTCCCCCTGCCTCTCCTCATAGCTTGCTGCCCTGCCCCCTCCTGTAGCTCTCTGCTGCCTGCTTGTAGCTCTCTGCCCCACCCTCCTGCTGATCCGTGATCCGGTCATTACTCGGTCAGTCGTTACACTTCACAGTGTAATGACCATTTGCATATTACATCTTTATTATATAGGATAGTATCAAATATAAGACATGCAGGAAATAATGCTACCTGTAGCAAGAGTATGAAATATATCTTATTATAGACTTAATTAAAAATTTGTTGATTCATAATGAGAAAGCTAACAAAAATTAAGTTTAAGGCCTCCACTCTTGCCTAAGGGTTTTAAAACAAGCAGATTTAGCAAAATCCCTAGTGTGTGTATGTGTGTTTGTGTATGCATGTGTGAACACAGATACATATTTTTGAAGACGGGACCCCCCTGCCCCTGCCTTTGTGTGGTCTCAAAAGATGCCCTCTCTGGGCTTACAAGTTAGAAAAAAACATCCCTTCTGATTGGACAAATAAAAAAGGATCACTTTATGGTCCCAAAGAATAAATGAAACCCTCCTGTGAAGAGGTGGCTCCCCTGCCTCTGGGCAGATGCAGTCTGGAGCCAGAGGACACAGCACTGCAGTGTGCATCTCACACAAGCTTGGGTGGAAGTCCTGCAGAAAGCAAAAGGACTAGTAAAAACACACTGTTCTGAGAAGGATCGGTACATCTCAATGTATTTACTAGACATAACTATAGATCAGAGCCTGTTTAGACTGATCCCTGAATCTTTCAGAGGTCTGAAGGGTTGACTGACTTACCCAACCAAGCAGAGTTCAAACCACCTAACATATTCCTTAAGCTATACATCAAACCCTAGTAAATTCATGTAAAAAATTGAGATAACCTATGTGAAGTGTCTAGCCTGATACCTGGCATACAGTAAATTTTAACAAATGCTAGCTTCCAAATCCCTTCCCTTTTTGAAAAGTCCATTTAAAAAAAAATGAATTATGAGTTTAGTAAATAATCAACTGCACATGTGAATATATTATACTTTTAGGAATATTTAACTTGATAATTGATGGATTAAAAATACTTAGTGACTTGCAGTACAAAGTTGGAGTGTCGGTTCCTGGCCTATCAGTGAGTTATTGGATATTTTAAATAAACAAGCCTACACCAGAGCCATGCCATATTATATTTTGATTGTAATTGTAACAATTACTCTTTAGTTATCTATTGAAAAGTCAGATTTTTTAATGTTATCTTATGAGGGTCACTTGTAAATAAATGATTCTTTTATACAGCTGCATCTTATTTTTCATTTTATTTTAATTGCTTTCACCTCTACCTCTGTTCCTACCTTGAGCTCCACTGTGAAAACAGAAAAAAAAATTCCTGACTTATATTGTCAATATAGAATTACAGCTTTATCTTCCATATGTATGTAAATATTTAGAAATTAAATATTAAAGAGCATGGATTTGAATATTCTCTACTTTTGAAAGACCAGGCTACTCTTTGTTGAATCCAGTTTTACTGATATCTCTCTAGATTTATTCAATATTTAATAGTATGAGCAACTTCATTTATATACAGTTAACACCAGTGTTTTTACTTTCCTCCTTTAGGAACTCAAAAGGACAAAGATAGATGCTGAAAATGACAGGGAGTGGATGTTGTATATTCAGAAACTTCTTGAAGGACAGGTATTTCATTTTCTACTTCATAGATGAAAACTAGATAAGAATTCCAAACCTTATATTTTTACTAAGTGCCTAACTTTTTGCTTATGCATTATTTGCTTCTGTTAGGTATAGAAGTATTCCAATAGGTAGACCAGAAGTTAACTCTCTATTTGTACTCCTGGACTTAACAAATGAAGTAGATGCCTTGGGAAACAGCCAACATGGATCTTAGCAAATGCATTAATTAAATTATTGAGTCAACCTCTATGCTTCCTAGACTGAAAAGGATCCATTCTCTCAGCCCTCTTAGGAAAAGAGATTTTTTATTATGTGTCTTTAAAGTTAGTGGTTATATGGACACCTGAGGAGTTCATGGGTTTCAGTGACCTTTTACTATGGACCTGTTTCCAGTCAATTCATGTTTTCCTCACAGCCAGACAGCTGTTTATTACTGTGTCTTCCTGCATTCCCTACAATATTTTCTACTGAGACCTCGAGCAGCTTGTTAGTGGGAAGTAAATATTGATTTGGCATCCTGTCAATGCAGAAAGAATGAAAAAATTTCCACCAGAGGCCCCTCAAACATTTTCCTATCGACATTTTCTGGGCCGCGTGGAAAGCTGCATAGAGGATGACAAGGCCAAGGCGAGTGGAAGTCCCGGAGGGGTCTATTGAGACTGCTGCTGTGACCTGTGTGATACTTTTTCCTCCCTTTCAAGTATTTTTTAATACACATATAGTCTGCTGGGAGGCGCCCCTCTTGTAAGTGATCAAGGGCAGTTTATTGGCAGGTGAGAGCCTTGCTTTTCTAGTCAGAGCCAGCTTTTGTTTCCACATCACTGACAGCATGTAATGTATTCTAAAACTTTTTCATTATAGTTTTTTTGTTGTTGCTCAACCTAATTGTTTATTTTAAAAATGAACTGGAATAAAAAGCAGCTAAAACATATTTCTCAAAATAGAAAAAAAAAGTATTGTCCTGTGAGTTTGGGAAAGTCGTAAATGTTTCTGTATGAAGATTAAAAATAAAGGCTGATATTAAATGAAACTTATTTTACATTTATATTAACAAATGGAGTTGTCTATGCTTTAGAAAAAGCCAAGAGTAAGTAAAGAATATCTGAACTATTCATATTTTTAGTATCAGTTTTATATATTTTGAAACTGTATTCAATAGTAAAAGAAGGTGATTGGCAATCTTTTTCTTAAAGTTATTTAAGTGCAGGCGTGCAAGTACTAAACATAGCTTTCTACTGTGACACTTGCTTTTGAGAAGAAATACCATTTGTTAATCATATCACATGCCCAGCACCAGCACCCAGCCCAGTGCCTGGCAGATCAAAGGAGTTCAGTAATGATTCTTATGGTCTGGTGTGGGGGTTTTTTTCAGCTGAAAATAATAAAAATAAACTTTTTAATGATTTTTAATGCTCAACTTGTAAAAATGACCCTTCAGTATGGAAATTTTTATGATCATTTTTTAACATAAAAATAAAAAATCCATATGTATAAATCTTTATTACATTTTACAAAAGCTATATTGACACCAGGCCTGGGGTTTTTTGACTCACACATGGAGATGTACACACACACACATTCTATGTATCTGGATGTATGCTTATTCTGGCCAGTTAGTGTAAAAAATCCCTTTAAAAATGGCATTGGACTGCTTAATATTGTAGTTTGATATAGTGCCTTTTTGTGCCACTGAGCCTGGACTCTGGAATGTAATTGCCTGGCAGTATTGATTTAATTGCCCAGGTTTATTTGTGGACTCCTAATTATTGACTGAGGTAAATTTAATTGAGCAGCCTTTATGAACACTGGGAAACCGCTGCTGTTGCTGCTACACGTAATGAACTGCAGCATGTGCCTTTAGATCATTTTTCAAGCTAATTTTATTCCACTGTGACAGCATGATAACATTTAAAAAGTCAAAGACTTTTTATTTTTATTACTGACATAGGTGGTTTTGCTGATGTCTTTGAATTTTGTGAGAAAAAAATAGAAACTTCATTGGTTGCACTTGAATGTCACTTTATTCTAATTATGCCCAAGAGAAAAATCTATAAAATGGAAAACATCTCTTTTTTTTCTAGCCTACTTTTCTTCTCTCTCAATTCCAGCAATTACATTTGTCCTGAATTTTAGAAAAGGTTTTCTTTATCCACCAGTTTTTTAGAGTCTCAGTGATACTCACGGGATTGTGTGGGCAAAACGTAGATATGTTCATTCATACAATTTATTTTATGATATACAGCTTCCTGTATCTGAGGTTACATGATCTTTAAGCTGTAGGACAATTGTGTACATTCCCTAAAATAAATACTAAATAATTCAGTGTTGGTATTTGATTATTAAAATATTTGGAAAATAAAATTATAGAAAAACTTTTCCTTTATGACCTTCCTCTGGGTTGGCCGCTTTATGTCAGCGATTTTCAACAGGTTTGCCGCAAGATTTTATAAAACATGCAATACTTGACTATTTATTGAGGGGCACTGAGCTCTTTTCCCTTAGATTATCAAATGGAAAAATGACCACAGCCAACACAATAGCCCTTCGGTGTGAATGCCCTGTTTTGAACCATAAATATATAGGTCATATAATAGAGTTGAATCTTATTGGTCATGTTGCATAATAAGGTTGCATCTGATTGGTTAATTTTTGGTACCAGAAATCCTTATATAAAAGTATAGGCACATGATTTTTTTTTAAAGTCACTTTGGAGCAAAAAAGATAATTACTCTTTTTTTTTTTGGTAAATCAATGAAAATTATACCTATTTTTGGTGCGATTGGCAAAAAATATATTTTTTGGTGTGCCCCAGAATTTTAGTAATTAGTTCATGTGTCCCATGAGATGAAAAAGGTTGAAAATTGCTGGATTATGTAATAGAATTCTGAGATCATAGGAGCTGATCTGGTCTGTGGTTTTCTCTTTTGTGTAAGGGTTAAGCCACAGAATTGTTTCCTGTTAAATAAACTTCTCTGCATTCATTTGTTGAAAATTTATATTGATAAAATATTAACCACAAAATAAAAAGCTGTTCTGCCATGTGTCAATATGGGACTACACAATAATAATACCTACTGCTACTGTTAGCCAAAAGTACATGAGAACTAAAAGGTCTAAAACCTTAACATGCCTACATTTAATACAGAATGCAAATATATGTCTTCATTACTTCAAGTGCTTCTGATGCAGTTGATACTTTTAGATATTTGATCTTTATCAGCACCTACCCTTTATTCCCACAGATTTCTAATAAGAATCACACTGAAAAAATATTTCTAATACCTACTTGTACTTTTTTATGGCATAACTGCTTTATAATTTCTTTTTTTTTTCTTTGTAACTCTTTTGGGTTCTTTTTTTAAAAATAAATCTTTATTGTTCAGATTATTACAGATGTTCCTCTTTTTTCCCCCCATTGCTCCCCTCCACCCGGTTCCCACCCTACCCCATGCCCGTACTCCCCACCCCCCACCCCCACTGTCCTCGTCCATAGGTGTAAGATTTTTTTAAAATATATTTTATTGATTTTTTACAGAGAAGAAGGGAGAGGGATAGAGTTAGAAACATCGATGAGAGAGAAACATCGATCAGCTGCCTCCTGCACGCCCCCCAGTGGGGGTGTGCCCGCAACCAAGG